TTTCCGATCCACTTTATCCTTGCAAGTGTTGCTGGGGGTGCTGGAGCCTATCCCAGCTGTCTTTGGGCAGTAGGCGGAGGACACCCTGAACCGGTTGCCAGCTAATCGCAGGGCACACAGAGACGAACGACCATCCATGCTCACACTCACACCTAGGGACAATTTAGAGTGTTCAATCAGCCTGCCATGGATGTTTTTCGGAATGTGGGAGGAAACCGGAGTGCCCGGAGAAAACCATGCAGGCATGGGGAGAACATGCAACTCCACACAGGGAGGCCGTAGCCGGGATCGAACCCATGACCCGTTGCACTGTGAGGTCGACGTGCTAACCACTGGACCACCAGTGGTTACAACTATTATCAATATCAATAGACTACAACTATTATCAATAATAATAATGTTACATTCAAACATTTGACAGCATCCAACAAAAAGGAGAATTATTTTATTTTTACGAATGCAGATTTTTTTTTTTTTTTTTTTTTAAACTTGAAGAATGGGATGCCATCCCACAGCAGCTGGTGACCGGTATGAGGAGGGTGTGCCAGACTGTTGTGGCTGAGCCCGGTTCTTCCACATGCTTATGTGGCCACTGATTGTTAAGTGAATAAATTGTTCAAACATCAATCATCCAATCCACCAAACACCAAACGAGAGACAAAGGCAAATGCGGGGAAAGTTTAGCAATTTTTTTCATGGGCACAACCCATATACTGTATTCATTTCTGCTGCACAAATACTTGTTCCTTACAAATGTGGCACCATCTTAAAGGTCAATAACAGGCTTTCCAATGGTATAAGATTTATTGTCAAAAAGCAGTGTTCTATTAAAGCAACACTCTACCAAAACGTCCTTATTTTTGTGCTGTTTAGTAATAAAAAAACAATAAAATAAAAGTAATTAAAATATACTCCATATCATAAAAAAATAAATAAAAGCAAAATATAATGACACAAAATACTGCATGGATATGAAATGATACTAAATAAAAAATACAACACAAAAACGGAACATAACAAGAGACTACTTAATTGTTCCGCTTGGCAAAGACAATGACAATTCTGTGTCATTAATAAGTAAGCAAGCCAGCAAGCCAAGGGACAGCAGCGACCCCAACACCCTCCCACCCTTCCTCCTGCTCTTATGTAATACAAAGTCTGCCGTGCGTGGATCATTAGCTCTTACTCAACAGGCGTCGTTCTTCTGCTACTGCTCCTGCTCATCGTGCACACATAATATAACCTCCTAAAGGCTATAAAATATCATCCACATGTGTTTGGGGGTGGAACAGTAGTAGCACGCACAGCTTACGGTGCAACAGTTGTCTCCTCCGCATTCCCATCAGGCTTCAGTCAAGCCAATTTACCAATTGTTGCACAATATGTTTCTTAAACATTCAGGGTCATTGTCAAAGCGACGCGTTTCTTACCGGATATTCCTCCGCCGACCACGACCACGTCGTAAGTGTTGCCGAGCGCCGTCATTTTGCTCGATGCTTTCGTCGTCCTGACTGCTGCTGCCGCTGCTGCGTTGATAGCAGGGGCGCATCTGTATTATAAACAGACACGTGTGGGCGGGAGCTGCCGGGCAGGCGTGGACCCCTCAAAATGACTCCGCCCCCAGCGTGTTGTAAAAAAGTGACCCCATGCATCCATTTTGCGAACTGCTTCCCCTAGTCCCCCAAAAATCAAGAGAAAAGACCTTAATGAAGGACATAAAGTATATTGAGTACTGAATTTGAACAAAAGTGATACATGTAGGATCTACTTAATAATTACTGTTTGGATAAAAGTGGGGAAATTAAGTCAACATTGGATTCGCTTGATATTCAATATTTTGGAACATAATATAGCTAAGCGAATGTTTCATGTAATGTTTACCAATTGATTTAAGTATATTTTAAAATATGACTCAATATTTGGAAAACATATTTACCAGCATTATTACTCACAAATTTCCTATTTTTACATTTCTGAGAAATTGCTTGATGTTAAAAAAAATATTTGGATCACAGTAATACAATTACTGAAGTCAAAGGTTGGATCAACCATATTTAACATTTCCTGTTTGGTGTAAAGCAGTAACAATTTGTGAATGTTGGATCTAATTAATATTTACTTTATGGATGGAACAAAAAAATACCTATTGGTTGTTGGAATTAATATTAAATATTTGTGAAATTGATAAAAACCATAAACATTTAATTAAATATTAATTAATGGGCTGGAAAATATCTTAGAATGTTAATCAACCTAATATCCATCCATCCATTTTCCAATCCTCTTTATCCTCACAAGGGTCGGGGATGTGTTGGAGCCTATCCAAGCTGTCTGTGGGCAGTAGGCAGGGGACACCCTGAACTGATTGCCAGCCAATCGCAGGGCACACAGAGACGAACACCCATCTGCACTCACACTCAGACCGAGGGACAATTTCGAGTGCTCCATCATGCATGTTTTTGGAATGTGGGAGGAAACCACAGTGCCCAGAGAAAATCAACTGATTATTTGGATTCATAAATTTTCATGACAGGGCAATTTAAGATTTAATAATTCTAACAGATGACTAATGTGTAAAGTCACACATTAGAGTGACTAAAAGTGACATTAAAGTGATAAAAACCCAAACCTCTCTGCAGTTTAAACTTGATTAGAATTTACTATTGATGTCAGCGCTTGAAGGCTAAAGGGATTTACTTGTGAGTTAGTCGTTTATGGATTAATTTTAATACTACCATGTGCTCTCATATGTCAGTGTAGTGCACATAGCAAGCGACGTGGCCAAGTTGATCTGTCATACAGTGTGTGGGTTTCGGCAACTAGCTTCCATTAGTGATCAGCGACTGTTGTTTTCAAAATTTGGATCACTGGTGTCAGTGTGGCAACATTGCAGATGTAATAGCCAATCAAAAAAATGCATCTGAACTTAATGTTGACTCATTCTGGAAAGTTAAAATAGCAAGTGTGTGTGTGTGTGTGTGTGTGTGTGTGTGTGTGTGTGTGTGTGTGTGTGTGAGAGAGAGAGACCAAAATGCCTATTTTGAGACCATAATCTATTTAATTCAATGGAAAATCTAAACTTTTGTGGGTTCAACATTTATGTCTCAAAGGAACCTTATGGTGACATTGACTCGCATAAATCCATCCAGCCATCCGTCCATTTTCTAATCCACTTATCCTCTCGAGTGTCACAGACATACTGGAGCCTATCCCAGCTGACTTCGGGCAGAAGGTGGGGTACATCCTGAACTGGTCACCAGTCAGTCGCAGGCCACATAGCGGGACGACAAAACATTAACATCCACACCGTCACAGAGTGGGAACCGGTTCAACACAAGACTGACGAGTGTATCAGCGACACTACTTGCATAAATGTGTGATTCATAAAAGAAAGAAAAGAAATACAAAACATGATTAGTTTGTTTGACGTATATTGGAACTGCATGAAAATGTCAGGTGAAATAAAATGTTGCACCATTTCAAGGCACTTGACTTAAGACTATCTCACTGAGCAGAAAAGATTGGCGAGTGTTTCCGTATGGGCCGAATGTTGATTTTTTATCAGCGTTCGTTCAAGTTTGCAAACACAAGCTAAGACGCTCACCACATATTCGCCAACAGTTAAACAAATGTTGAACATGTTCAACAAGAAAAACTGTTTGCAACTGTTGCCTTTCAGGAACCCTGACGAAAAAAAAAAATTGTAACATGCGCAAAAAAATTCATGGCTCAGTGAGATACAGGCTTCAGGCTACTAAAGCCTCTTACTTGCAAAAGAGGAAAAGTCTTTGAGTCCAGGTGTGCACATTAGTGCACTTGCACACTGAAAATATAATAAGCGCACTAGATTGAAATGTGTCACTGCACATTTGTGTACCAAGGGAGGAGAGTGCTCAAGTAATGTGTCATTTGTGAACCACTTGTTCAAATATTATTCTTGATTGAACATACGGAATTGAATCACTTTATGAACTTATTCATTCGTTTGTCAGATTAGCTCAGTCATGAGCATATCGATAGGTTCCGAGCAAGATAACGACCTAGGTCAAGTCAAGCAAATTGGGGACTGATGCCCTCGAGAACTGGAAGCAGTGACGATGCTTGCTTGAAGGCAAGATGCCTCTATGGTCCCATCTTCCCGCTGCTGAAGTGTTAAAAATCATTGCTTTCATCCACACCACCACCACTCAATTACACCACACTCTGTGTGAGCGCATATTTTTCTTTTTATACATAAGAGGAACCACCACTGACATGAAGGCCCCTATTTTTGTGCCAGGTGCAAGTCTAGCGAAAACGCAGTCTCACTGTGCGGATGGGTGGAGTTTTCTTTATATTAGTGTTTTGCTAAAATTGGACGTAACGGGGCCTATGAGCTATTGTGAACCAAGCCAATCCTCGCGGCATCCCTCATTTTCATCACATTCAGAGCAGTCATAGCGCACGCCCTTTCTTCCTCATGGATTGATTCTCTTCGGGGTTTTTTTTTCCTACTACTGAATAATTCCGTTCCTTTCTGCTCACATGAACTTTCTGTCCTGTACCGTCCCATGATTATAGGTAAAGTTGACTCCCATTCTGCAGGAATCCTGCGGGATCCTTGAAAAAAATGTCAGCCTCTACCGAGTATGCCATGACAGATATTGCAGAAACAGAAAACCACCCAACTTGGAGATTGAAGGTACAGCTCAGGTTGTCATCTGAAATATTTTCAAATTTGGGATGTGGATGGACCTTTCTAGAAGTATACACTACTTCTATTGCATGAGGTGCGGGTGCTGTGGTGGCCCGTTGGCCCCACCCTTTGCAGTTTGGGGCACTTGAATGGTTTAACCCTATCATCCACCCTGTAACCTGATACCATGATAAGCTGTCCACTGTGGTAACCGCTGTCCCTGAAAGGGTTCAACTACGGTACTTTTGCATCAAGAGTGACTTTTTTTTCTCCGATAAAACAAATGAAACTCGCATCAATGACACAAACAATATGAGGCAACACGCCTCGTTCATTTTTATTTTTAATGAGAGTAAATGTCTTACTTTCACATGCACAGGACCATGTACAGGGTCCTACATTTTGTGACATAGATATGAACGTATGTACAGGAAATACAAAATCCTTTGAACTGTGTGCCTATAGGAAGGAGAAAGGTGTATGCACATTCCATAAGTGTGGACGGCAAGATAAACGATAGAACACTGGTGCCGGGCCGTTGCAGTGTATTCAGTTGGGTACAACACGACAACACTGCTGTGTGTGCGCGTATGCGTGCGATACTCTATACAGCCAGCAGAGAGCAGCAAGAAGCCTGAAATGACCTTCACTGAAATGACTCCGATGGAACATTGTGCCATACGTGAAAAATATAGGTACTGTAATTTAATAGCTAATTAAAATACGAAATATTTCGTTAAAATGTCAAATAATTTCATGAGCCAACGATTATATCACTACAGTAAATTGAATCTAATCATTCATATCGTATTCATGAATTCATTGTGGGTCCGAATAATTGGATGGGATCTATTCAATTGCCTAAAAGTAACCTTAATCCCACAAAATGTGCAGGATACAGTATGCATCAATATTTGCAAACGGCAGATGAACTTGTAACATGACAATGGGTGTTAACATGCTATGTCTCAATACTTCACTCACTTTTAATTGCATTACAGTACTATAACTTTGTCTTATTTCAATTAATGTCTCCTTGTATATTTAATTAAACTGTGAAAGCACCAACGCAGGTAATTTAACATGTTACTAAATTAAGTCAAAGCTATTTAATTTTGTCGCCCAGTAAATTGCTGCTTATATACGTGTATAGGTTTTACAGTAGTTCGTTGCTAGCAAGCCAGATGGTTATTTGGTTTGCTAGCTAGCATATGAAATAGCTTGTATTGTTAGCTAGCTAATTTACTTGAAATAACCAAAGCAGGTAAATTAGTTACATTAATAGTTCATTTGTCTTACGACAGGATTATGTAAACTGGCTTGGCAGATATAAAATAACTATGTATATTTGGTTATACACTGGTAACTTGACTTTGAGTTTAATTCGTTCAGTGACTGCAGTGCTCAGCCAATTCAATTTATTCATTTACTTATGTCCCACTTTTGAATTTTTCTTGAATAATTGTAAAACTCATTATCTGTTTTATAAGGATTGAGTGATCGAACTAATTGAAGTCTGCATGAAATGAATAATGAACACAAGTCTGTAAATGACAATATGTTACTTTAATGTTTTATGGAGGGAGAAAACCACAAATGGGACAAGAGGAATAGATATTCGATATTCTTCGAAGCAGATTAGCAGGAACTCCACGAAGAAAGTGTGAAGTTTCTTCCAAGTGACAGAATATAGGATGCTTGTATAAATCCAGCGTGATATTATGTGAACCTTAGATTCAAATAGACGACATTTAACAAGCACCTCACACAGTCTGTGAAGAGTCCAAAATTGCCACCCTGATGCAGACACAACCTTCTGACTTTTTTCATCTGTCTTTTTATTTCTTCTTCTTTTTATAGTTCAGCTGACGTCTTTGCATGCCAGTGTCTCTTGTGATTTGCGCCACCAGATGAAATCCTGGATTGGAAGTAGGTACAAATTTATCGGGGTCAGGGTTTGGAGCAACAATTGCAGTGCAGTCCATGAAAGCTTGAGCTTCAAATGGGGCGACTTTTTTTAAGCTTCTTTAATGAGAAAAAATTGTTTTGTTGTCATGCAGAATGCAGAATAATGGAGAACACTGCAATCAGTTCTAGGTGGCTCTGAAAAACCGGTTGCCACATGAGAGTCTTTTAGGGTTTGGAATAGAGAGGGAATTACCCCCACCCTACTCCAAAATTGCTTAGCTCAATTTAGCTGCACTCCTGGCAGTTGCAAGCCAGGATGTACCGGTACGTGGCAGTGATGCGAGTGCCACCGGCGCAGCGCAGGCGCACAGCCTTGAGTTTGGAGGTGTGCGGGCGGCAGCAGGAGCAAGTGCTCTTGAAGGGCTGCTTGAGCACCGAGCTGAAGGAGATGAGCGGGTCGGAGCGCGTCGTTGGGCCGCAGCGGCCCTCGCAGCGTGCCAGAAGCACCATCTGGGAGTGGGGAACACAGAAAAGCTGTTCACTGTGCTGTCCAGAATCAGGGAAACTGGGGAATTTCACCCAGTTTTCTTGATCAACAATCGAAAAATAAATAACAGTGTTGAATAGGAATGAAACAGTCGACAATTTAGAGATGTAACTGCCCATTATTCAGCTTTTTCAATCATGGAACATTCAGAGGGTCAACCGAGGCATCCAGTGAACATAGATCAACGGAGCACAAAAAAAACAAAATAAAAAACAAAAAAACACACAAAAACAAGCAGCAATTTAGACATCCTCTCTCTTTTTTCAGCATTAATTTGAATGAAAAAAATGTTTTCAAGGGGAAGTAAAATAAACAACAGAGATAATATCAGGGAAAGCCCACTAGAACAACTAAACTTTATTTGGGGTTAACCAAAGGCCCTTTAAGTGGTGGCAGATTGGTGATGACTCCCATTTAACATGAATTTGACTTTGATTGGTCAACTCTGAAAACATCACCTCCCTACTTCTAAGATAGTGTGCATACTTTTGCAACCACATTGTCTAAGTTGTTTATTTTTACATCCCTTCTCAAAAAGAATTTATGATCATTTCATTTCATTTGTCTCATCAGTTTGCATCTGTTTAGTTCCCTGGTTTCTTTTTGTCAATAGATGACACTAATGGTTGAAAACATTTTGGAATTATTTGTCTTGGTTCCATTTTTTTATATCATACCAAATTCTAGCACTTCAATAGGAATATGCCGACTTTTTATATCCACTATAGCATTCTCACTGTTACAGTTGCACTTGTCTTTATCTGTATTTCCTAAAAAGAAGAGAAACTACTTTTATTCCACTTTCCTAAAATGAAAATGTTGAATCTGTTATAGCTTAGTCAATATTTATTTTCCTTTTTTTTTTTGGATACTTTTTTAAAGTTGAGAATCTTTTAGTTATTGGCAAAGTTATGCTTAAATAGAGTATGTATACACCAAACTGTGCTTTCTGGCATACTGTTACTACCCATTATAAATTTTTGGTTTGGTTTTGCTTCAGATGTTTTCTGTGAAACACGACGAAAGGCCTCATTCAAGTTAATGACCTTACTTATTTTCCTGTAGACAATATAACAACTTAGCCCCTACAAATATTTTTACATTTGTATTCTGGTAACATTGCAACTTGATCATGGGGACATTTTTCTCTCTATAGTCAGACTTTCTTATAACGTATGACTTCATTCTCTGCAAAGACAATGACAGAAAATTACAACTTTTTTTCTTGTAATATTGGAGGTGTTTTTTTTTTTTTCATGTTTGACGGTGGGAATTTAGGTGATAACATGTTAGCATTACTAAGTGGCCTTCAAATGTAGCTTGCCATTTGGCCTTCGTGGTCTGTCACATCCCATATTTCTCTGCAGGCCATGACTCATTCCTAAAGCAGAGAAAGCGGATTTTAGTTTTGGGGGGGGGGGGGCTATTGGTAATATAGTTATTCACAAGGTTGACTGTAGTGCAGAGGGTGTGGGGTCAATTCCCACTCACAGCATCATGATTTAAGGGTGAGGGTGGGAACTTGTGGCGCAATGTCCAGGTTTGTTATCAGGTCTGCGGTGTCAAGTCAAAACAAATAGTAGATTATCATGCTTGTCCGCCATGTTTTTTTGTTTATCTTCGAGCGGATTTCAACATTTCCCAGCCGAATCGAATGCAGCTCAAGAGCACGAGAAAAAGAAATGGCTTCTTGGAAAAACAAATAAGACTCTCCCGGCTGCGGCTTTGCACCTGTGAGCTCAAATAGTGACAGGTTGACCCAGGAGATCGGGGTCATACTCAGACACGTGTGTGGGGCTAATTTACGATTCCGTCGTCTTTGCGTCGCGTGCGACTCCAACCGAGGATGTCAAGTTGTGTGACGCAAAGCAGCACACATGCCTGATTACCTCCTTGTCCATCAGACCGACATTCTGCTTTGTGGCTCACTGCATTCCTGTCGCCTCCCGACACAGACTCCTGTGTCATGTTTGTCTGTCAGCTGCTGTGTCGCCACCCGTGTACCCACTTTGTCACAAGCCAGTCTGGGACACGCACACACACACAGACACGGTGCAGGCATGTTGTCGCCACTTTAAGACCGTTTGTCTTTGCTGCGGGCCGAGGCTCAGGCTGCCAAACTGCAATACTTCTTTTCTTGAGTGACACTGAGTGTTGCCACAGTTGCGTTAAAGGAGAAACTGTTGCTTTCCTGATTAGTTATTTTACTGTTTATTTTAAAAGTAACTAAGTTAGATCACAAGTTAACAGTTACATTGAGCAGATACCCACAACCTTGCTGAGCATAAAAATGTCACACGGTTTTGCCACTTAATTGGAAGTGCATTTTTAACTTCAGAGTAAAGTTTGATTTTAATGAAAGTAAAATAAAGGCAACCGTTTTGACTAAACATAATTATTTCAATTTCAAAAAATATTGAGTCTTTTGTGGATTTTATTTATCATCAAGGAGATACTTGTTTTTTTTTTTAATTAAAGAGTCTTTCGAGACTTCACTTAACATAAATACATTTTAAAATAAAATTTAAAATAAAGACAGCCTTTTTTTCCTTGACATACTTAAATATTAATCTTGAAAGGGCATATTTGAACATTTATAATGTACATTGTTTATAAATACAACAAATAAATATGGGGATCTCCTCCACTCGCCATCTGGTGCTCTTTTAGCCTGAATGCATACTACGCTGCTATCCATGTTTTTTTTTTTTGTTAATTTTTTTGACGTAGTCATTGAAGCTACAAAATCTGTAGCCACGCATGCACAAAAGAATTCCACACATTCTTGTGTTACTGTACTGATAAATGCGCATCTAAACGCAAAATAAAAAGTGGAGACGAGACGCCTCTTTTGCGTCTTTTGTTCAGATCATCATCATATAAACGTAGTGAAAGACAGAAAGAAACCAGGGAACTAAATACAAGCAAACTGATGGCTGGGGTAGCTGAGTGGAAGACACCAGGGATTACAGAAGTGACAAAATATGCAAAATGATCCAATGTAGCTGATCAAATCGGTGCAAAGTCAACTTCTGAATGCGCTCACGACTAACTTGGAGCCAATCCCAAAAAGTCGCCATGACATATCACTGACAACACAACGTCTTTTAAATTTGCATTTCTAGGTGTCTGTTTTATTTCAAGACGCGGCGACACTCGGTGCTGGCCTCTCTCAGTGCAGTTTTTTGAGTGTACTGTCCCAAGTTTTAAATACAATGATAAGCAGGGCCGACACATGCCGACACGACCAATTGTCGCTCAATCGAGGTGAGTTCATCCCTTCCCCCAAAATTAGTGACCGATTTGTTTTCTGAAACTCAGTAATATATACAATTTATATATACAATATATACAATCCAGCACCTGCGAATGCGGCTCTTCGTAAAGGATTACTATCTCAGTAAATCAAGCTCACCACCAACGTGCATAATCTGTGAGAGCGAACTGTTTGGGCGTTTTAGTAAATCAGGTCCATGGCATTTCAAACATTCTACTCTCTATTCTGTTCCTCCACCTGCATTTTGCTCTGTCTTTAGACCAGATTATCACCTGTGAACATCACGGTCCATGGGGATTTCATCCTATCCTCAACTCAACAAAATAGAAAGGGGCCCCCGAGCAGATCCCCCAATGCAGTCCCACCCCCCACCCTAAAATCCTCTATAACACTAACATAACACCTCCCCACCATTCTACAGCTCTCATACAGGCCCTGTTTTATTCTTATAAACTTCTGTGCCCCTCCAGACTTTGTAATGCGATACCACAGTTTCTCTCTGGGTACCATGTCACGTTTTCTCTCAATCTGCAAAAACACGACACGGCTCCTTATGACATTCTCTCTTCTTCTTCAGTCAACAGCCGCAAGGGCAAATAATACATCTGAGGTATTTGGCATGAAACACTACTGATGCTTCATAAAAGTACTTACTTTTCAGTACTACTCATTCCCAGAACCTTATTATATAGCTCATCAATTTTATTCCTCGATAACAATTCCGCACAAAGCCAAAACCAGCACACTTATCCTCCAATCCTCGGTCATTTCTCGCCATTCAGCAATCTATTGAACAACCCGGTCAAAAAAACGCGATAGCCACCTTTGCACACACATGTACGAGTAAGAGAAAATGAGGAATGTGTGTGCAGGTGGACTGCGTTAAAGAGTTGTCTCCGAGCCAATTACCAGAGTACCATTATAGAAAATGGGTGACTCCTGCTGCGAGCGTGCCGCCGCGCCACAGCTGAGCTGTGTTTCGCGCCACCTGCTCGACACACTCAGAGACAACAATATTAAAAAAAAGACCCGATGCCTGATCGCTCACGCATGACCAACAACTGCGCTGGCATTTAAAGAAAATAGAAGGAAATTGGCATTGCCCTTTGCGCAATAAAACTGTCCTCAGTTCGATTTGTTTTTATTGGGCCTCAATGGTTTTTGCTTTGACTTTCTGCATTCAATCGCTGAACTGTTAAACCACAGAAGATGCGGCGCAAACTGAGAGACATCCACATGCAGGTGCAAGTAAAAGTGAAGTTTGCAGACTGAATTTCCCCTCCCATGCACATAAATGAAGGTTATCTTGATATTACTACACCGGTGAGCCTCATCAGTTATTTGACTTCATTACTAAGTGACACACAAAGAATGCAGCATATTTATATCATATTTAATCATCTATGCTGTCTCTGTTGTTTGGAAGGCAGATGTTTTTTTAATGTGTTTATTTGTGCATTTGCCACTTTGCACTTCAATGACGTTGGGGTATAACCAATTGGTGCGTTTACGCTGCATTTGCATTAACATATGCGACGCTGATCACATTTTTATCCCCTTGAGGAAGAGGCTTGACTCTACTATCTTCCTTTTATGTCTTTAACGACAGTAAGACGCGAGAGACTCACTTATTCAGGGCAACAATTGGGTTGTAACCTGACATGATCGTCAATCTCAAGACAGACCACGATTAACACTCACATTATCAACTTCTGCCAGGTTTCCTCAAGAAAGACCAATCTGTTTAAAAGTGACATATTTGTTTCTTTAGTTTTGAAAAGTTTCACAGCCAGCCAACAAAGTTAGAAAAATTACCCCTGCTCAAAACAATGTCTTATCCTACTGGTCTCACCCAAATTATTAACAATCTACCATATGTATTGAGTTGGGAATTTCATTTTGGGAGAAATGTATATCTCACATTCACTGTAAATCTACACTTCATTATCAAGCGTATTCTCTTACGTGACATACTGGCTTACGTTGTCTGCTTTCAAATAATTGGAACTTTTCATAACGTCGGTGTTTTCAAGAAGTTCCACTTCGAGGCCCATTTAAAAAAGTTTTTACAAGAAACATGACACAATTTTTGGCCTTTTCCGATTCAATAGAAGCGAATGGGGCTTGAGAGTCTTCAAAGTGTGTCCTTGGACTGTGTGAGGATATCAGAGTACTCCAAAAAAGAACCTACGTAAGCACGGGCTCAAACTTGAGACCTTTGTCCTGTGAGGTGAGTAAGCAACCACTTATTATACCCTTGGTTGTCAATCTACTTTCCAGACTGGCTAGAAGGTGTTGCTCTGAGTAACTGAAAGGTTGTGTTTCATTCTTTTTTTTTTACCGCATTGGGAGTTGCACTCGAGAAGACCTAAGACAAATGCTAGCCAATAAGTGTCGGATCTGCCCTCTATTAAACCCCTGATTGAGCATAAAACCAAAACCATAGAAAACATAACCTCTGGATGTTCCTTTTCATTCAAATGCAAGACCAAGTCGGTGTCCCTTGGTTGTGTTGGCAGGAGCTGCTGTTGGCTGTTTTTGCAAATCGGATGCTGGGTACGCAACTTTTTCCAGAGTAGTCTGATTGTATTATCATAACTAAGCAATTTTACCAAAGGGGAACTCGTGACCACGGTAAAGAATTTCAACGTACGAGTAGAGTCTTTCCATCACTCTTTCTGTCTTACCTTGGAGGTGCACTTATAAATTGGGTGGCTGATTGTCTCAACAAAGTGATGCCTCATGCAGCGTTGCGGGTCTGAATCGCTCAAGTGTGAGGGGCGGCCATGGTCGCTGGCCTTGTTGCTGCTGGCGGACTGCGCCAAGCCCAGCAGGGGGCAGCACATAAGGACCAGCAGCAGGCCGGAGGGCGGGACCACAGTGATTGAAGTTTTCATGGTCGGACCACCCTCAGGCTCTGGGCCCTTACAAGGTGTTCCAGCACTGTTCTGTTTGTTCAGGTTTTCTGCACAAGTTGGACTTCAGGGCGTCATATATGACGATGTCTTGATCCCACTCACTGCTTACTACTTGGACAATGGATCTTCAAATCCAGTGCGCTGGAGTGCCAAACTTGGAAGATGGTTTCCTTCAGAGGTCCTCTCCATCTCCAATCGTCTTGATCCACCACTGTCTGGTTGGGGACAAAGACATAACATAATTGATTTACAGTGAACCATCAGAACTTGAAATGGAAAGACTTTGACCTGATAATAAAAGAAAAATATGGATCAAAAGTCAGATGGAAATCTTCAACTTCCATCCATCCATCTTCTAACCAGCTAACCAGTCGACCACCAGGCCGCCCAAATCTGCAACTTGAATGAAAAAACTAGCCAGCTGGCACGAGACAATTTACACAAAAGTCTCAGTACCCTCTTTTTCACAGCTTCATCAAGTTGGGATTTGTCCATTTTAAAAAAATCTGGAGCACTATTATGAATAAGCAGCACAGGTGTGGATGGAGTGAACCAAGTCATTATGCAAATATGGCGCCCTTGGTCATGCTGTACCATCTCCCGTGTAAATGGTAAATAGCAGAATAGTGGGAAAATGGTGGGAGTTTTAACACCTGACACTCACTTCTACTGCTCTCTTGAGTTTTTTTCTGCCAACAACTTTATACATCACACTAAACATCATCTAAATATCCAACTGCGGGAAGCTGTCTAGTTGGGTGAAAGAACACACGTTCCAGCAAACTCCTGCCTTCGCTATAGCTCTTCATGAAAAGTACATGCAGGCGGATAAACGAAGGACCTTCTTCCACGACTCTGATGGGGTAATTTTGCGGGATCTACGTGTTCTAGACGCTACTAAGCCCAAGAAGAAAATAGAAAAAGGAACAAAGTTCTCCACAAATAACTCCAGGTCTAGAATGTACCTGCCTGACCTATTTACACAGAACTCAGCAAACTAGGACAGTAACACAGCAGCCCACACATAATTAGATGACACCAATGTCAGTGTCTGGTGTGACATAAATTCATTTTTGGACAGTGACACTTCACACCCTGGTCCCGCCTTTCCAGCATTCCCTTTTCACACAGCCACTCTCCGCTCACCCCTGTTACGTCTTTGATCGTACCTCTAATGCTTGCAGAGTCGTGTGTCTATTTTAACCCCGCATTCATTGTTCCATGTGGCTTTCACATGGAGCAGTCTTGAACAATGGTTGTTTTTAGGCTTAACTACCAACAACATTCACTTTTTACATGACAACCAAGACTCCTGAACAGCTGCTCAACAGCACAGTTCTATCTCTTCAGTAAAGACTGCACTTGGGATGAACTTTGCGACGCATCGTGAAACCTGTCGTCTCCGTAGGCGGACGCCCCCCCTTGACGCTCACGTCCATGCTTTTTTATTATGGCGCAGAAACCTAAGCCATGCGCAAACAGCCCGGAGCCAGGCCCTTTCCTCTCCACGGGAAGGACTTTTTCATTAAAACAAATCGCTCTCCCAACAAGACCTCTCTCGACTGCAACAAACCACTGAGTCGAGCAGCATATTTTCACATGTATTTATGTAGGGTCTATTTCCAAAATCACAGTTTTACTGTCCTCCAGACAATAGAGTTAAGAGCTGCAGTTAGTTCAGCTGAGGCTGCTGTGCTAATAGGCAATGTGTTGTGAATTAAGAAGTGGGCTGCATGTACGTCTCGGGTCACGGGTCTTAAAGAGGGGCACATTGTGACTGAGTTTTGAGGCTTAGGTCTCTAAGCTGTATGTTGATACTTTTGATTCGTTTGAATTTACAGTCTATTTTTCCCATAGGAAACGGAAATGAAATTTGTCCGTTCCAAGGTCAAGCTGTGCCCCCCCCAGTTTACTGCTATTGATGTATATATTTGTCAAATATGTTTTTCAATTGTGAAGTGGGCAGGAGGATCTGACACCGCTTATGTGCATTTTTCGAAAAGCCATTCCTAATGGTTGTTTTAGCTGTTTTCTAGAAGTGTCACTTTTCCAGAAAGAATCCAATATTTATGAGAATGTGTAGACTTTTTATTGTCAATAAATGACAATTCCTGATGACTATTTAGAAAGCATACTTTCCCCCAATAAAAATGCAACTTTATGTTGCAGCTCCGAAGCAAACAGAGCTGTCGTGTTGGTTTTAAGAATATGCACTTTATTAATTCGTTTCACACTCAAGCGAAAATGGACACGTCAATGTTGGACTACGCGCCTTCTCAACTGCCGTCTAACTCGAGAGGCGTTAAAGGGCCGCTTACGAAAAAGCGTAAATTAATGATCACTTCACTGATGCTCAGAAAAGTGAAAATAATGCAACAAAACAGAAAATCAATTGAATAACATAAACAGTCTCCTACATTTACCCCAACTATATATTTTTCTTCCCCCTAAACAATATACTTCTAAATTTCTCATAGTATATTTTTCCCCTTTTCAGTGTGCTCCTTGGTATGATAGGATGATGTGCCTTCTATGATCGCAATAATTTCCAAACCAGCGCATTTGTCATCATGTTGTTTTCCACAGTCCAACCCACCCAGTCCATTACTCTTACGGGTCCTTTAAAAAAACGATAGTGATAAATAATGAAGTTTATGTGTCCTTTGTTTGACTGTGAAAATGTATCATGTTATACAGACGGGGAGAATTTCAGCATTTGGCACCTGAATGGCAATGCATATTCTGCTTTTTTATGAACACTCCCTGCTGCGAATTCATTGATTTTCCCTTCGAGCGAGTTCACATGAAACCATAATAACACCTCGTTGCCCAAATCTTTCAATTCGAACGCCATTCGCTTGAGGGAAAAACAGAATAGGTGTGTGGTCTGTTCAAATGAGCGCTTACATGGATGTTTGAACATGAGCTGCAAGATAGATTACAGCCAACACAAATCAGCACCTTCAGCGCTGTCACCTCTACACGAAACTCGACACGAAAACTCTGCTCTCGCCGTTAGCCTTGCTTGCGTTTTTCGGTATAGAACTCAAGGGTCATTCAGGTAGCTTTTGTGTCTGTGTGATGAAGTTTTGCACAGAGCTATGGCCAAGTAGAAACATACAAGACACTAGCGAAATAATAGCGACACGTGGGGTTTTAAGATACGGAAGTTGTTTACTACTTGGGTTGTCAAAATCCATAGTAGGCAGAAGGCTCGTTTACTCTCTATGATAGATACACATACGGACTCAGATAGCGCCTAGCCAATTTAGCGATGAGCTTGTTAGCGCGAGAGGCTAACGTAGCACTCTATATTTCCACTTAGTGTTGCCTTTTGTGAAATGGCAAAAACAGATGGACTTAAATGCACAACAGCAGACACAGAAGTTTTGTTCTTTAAAAAAAGTGTCAACGGTCAATCATGTATCTGGTTTTATGTAGCCAGCAAGAATGGGAACAAAAAACAGGAAGTAGAAATCTACCGAAATAAAAGCAATTGCGTAAACAAGCTTGAACAGAAGCCTCACTTCTGTTCAGTAATCCACATTGCTGGCAATGAGCTCCAATTTTCATGACCCTCAAACATCATCTAAAATTAACCAGACATGGGCTTTACTATGACTTATTTCACAGTAACTTATCGTCTTACCACCATCTTAACTGTTGGGGAGAAAAAAACGATTTGAAAGCAGCAAAATCTTTGATTTGGGCTGAAAAGTTTCCTGTGCGTTTGTGACGAGGACAGTGTTCAAAACATATGCATCTATTTTTGGAGCGTAAATGAGCCTTCAGCCTCAGGAGGGAACACATGGAAATTTCCTACTGAGCTTTAATTGACTCCTACTGCCCACTTTGTGTATATTGTGTAGGTGCCCTATGGCCTTTAAATTCTCATTAAGATGACAGATGACAGCTTCATTATGAGCAGAGAGAACTGGAAACCAAACGGTACTCCAACGCTCGACAAACACTCGCCGACCTCTGCTTGTCTGTTGACGGTTGTAATTAGTCAGAGCTCAGTTTTATTACACAACTGATTAAGAATAAGTTTTAAAATGCATTTTGAAATGCAACATTTGCATATTGTATTGCTCATCGAAATATGTTTAACATGGCTGCAACGCATTGGGATAAGTCAAAACAACAACTCCCATCTACTCAAATACTGTACAGTACAATACAATACATCTTTATTTACCGGTATATATTTATAAGAGCTGCAGGTGTAACAAAGGGATTTACAGAACATTTAAAATATTCAAATTGCCTCAATAATTCAGGCTCAATCACTAAGTAAAAGCTACCATTTCTTTCGCTCGTCGATACAGGTTTGGGTTAGTTCCTATGGCGCTGACATATAAGAAGTAGTAAACTGTCGTAAATATTTGCATGAAAAAACAGTTCTCGGCAATGTTCCCTCAAATTTTCTACGCGGGTGAGCAGTCACACAAACTCTCTGAGCATCCCTTAGACCACAGTGAGCAACATCAAAGATGCACATGGTGGCCAAAGCAGCCTCACACCTGTCCAAAACCAAAAGATCAAAGAAAAAAGAGACGTGATACAAGTTACAACAAAATTCAAACCACCTATACATCAAAACAGAACAAATCAATGAATAGAAATTTGTGACACGCGTAAAGTCAGAGCCCCAGTTTGTTACTTTCATTTGAGCATACAGATGATTTTAAGTACAATGAATTAAGTCTCAATGATATCTGTAACAATATGGTCCCACATTGTCCACTCATAAATAATGGAAAACATGTCATTTAATAAAACACAAACATTTCTGGTCACATGACCTCTGAAACATATGAAGGAGCCTCATTTAAGAGGGATCATAAACTACGCCCATGTTTGGACTTCCTGAATGGAATATTCGTTGACGAGAGTGTATGGATATGTGGTTTGAGGGGGTGCAGTTCGCTGCCGTCACGTGCCGAAAGGTAATGATCGGCCGGGGGATGCCGCGGCCATGCTTGCCCGGACCTGCCTGAAATTTGACCGGCCGTGAGGGAAAATCAAGACATTTTCCCCAAATTCCCGATTGTCACTGCACCACTGTTTGGAACATTTACATACAACTATTCTGGGTGCTTTGCTTTCTCAAACATATTTCAAAAGTTAATGTTATTTATCTTCATATGTTAAAATCCCATGACTATGCCCAAAATGTAACATGTTTCGATTCTTCGGCATGTCATGAATATTC